TTTTTTTTTTTTTTTTTTTTTTTTTTTTTTTTTTTTTTTTTTTTTTTTTTTTTTTTTTTTTTTTTTTTTTTTTTTTTTTTTTTTTTTTTTTTTTTTTTTTTTTTTTTTTTTTAGTGAATGTTACATTTCATCATGTTTGGACTGCTTCTCTAATCTTCCAACAGCAGTTATAGAAGGCTTTTCTTAAAACTGTCTTAACTTTGTAGATTATTTTCTTCATTAAAAACCAATTTTCTCATTTGGCTTTCAGTGCCAAAGCCTTGATGCAATAAATCAGTTGAGGGGCTTGGAGATGCAGCAGAAGCTATGCTCTGTTTCTTCCTCTCTTCCCCCATTATTAAGAAGGTGTCATAACACAGCGTGGTGATAGACTGCACAGGTAAAATGATAGTAGATCGTTTCCAAATGCTCAGCAAGTCCTGAGGGCTGTAATCAACAAAAGTTTTAGATTAAGCTTGGTTGGAAACAATGCACAGTTCAGACATACTGGGAGAAGCTTAGGGAAGTGACTTGGATTTAGCAGCCCATTTCTTCTATAATGTGCCTTGCAGTTTTTGCAGACCCAGTCCAGCTTTGCTGTAAATGTGATGCTGTCACATACAAATGCTGTATGAATCAGTTCTAAAGTGTGACCATCAGCCTCATTAACCTCTGTCTCTTTCAGGAGGCAAGGATAGACTCCTTTCTCTCCTCATGAGACAGGGCTGTGCTGACCAGCCTGGGGGCAGTATGGAAACGTGCAGGTTCCTTATTGCCTGTCTTGTTTTGGCCTGCCTGCTTGGCCATTGAGATGATTTGGGATGCCCACAGGATGAGTGCTTAAATGGGCCCATAAAGCTTGAGGTTTGGCTCCCCTTTCTTGGTTTCATTCAATTGGGTAGTAATGTCACCCACAATGAAACTATCTAGGCCATTTGGGATTTGCTAAATAAACCTTGGGCTTGTTGTCAAACTATATTTGCTGGCACATGCAAGCAAGTTAAGAAGTGCCAAAAGATACTGAGTTCATACAGATATAGGAATGTTCCTAATTTGGGGAAGATTCCCTTTGAAAGGAAAGGAATTTGGTCATTGAACAGAAATACGTACTGAATAAGTGCTTCACTTAAAGGAACTTGTATATGATATGCATATCATCAGTCACAGGTGAACTGAGGAAAGCATGTTCTTGCAACATGTTATGTTTTGAGGCAGGAGGTGTTAACTCTAGAAAGAGGCTGTATGGCAATAAGAAAAGAATTGGCATGCAGCTTCTTTTGGAAGCATTGCTTTAAGGACAGCACTAATTATAATGGTTTTTAGTGGTAGTTTAACAAGGAATTCTTTGGACAACCTCTCATATTAGATGTGGGACTGGTAAGCTGATGCATGTTTAATGGCTAACGGTAATAGACTGTATGTAGGCATGCAAGTTCAGATTTTTTCCATTAGGGTTAGTATTTTGCTCATGTTTACATCACACCATCTGCAGCAAGACGCATTTCAAACTCCTTTGGTCTGAATCATCTCCTTTAGAGTTACTAGGGATGAGTTTCTTCTTGGGTTGAAAATCTACTGAGATGGGTTCTCATGCACTGAATGCAATCCAAAGGAGCTGTGCTAGGGTTAGAAGCTGCATAGTATTTCCTTCCCACACATTGGAGTAAAGAAGGAATTGAGAATTTCTCAACCCACCCTGGGATAAGATAGCCTTATGACAGCACACACAGGAAGGAATACATTAGGTGCCATCTTTCTAGACTTGTGGGCCTCATCTGGTCCTCTGTGATTTTTATCTCACAAGATCTTTTGGATGAAGTGTGAACTTTAGATGTGTTCCTCTTTGAAGTGAGGGACATCATAATTTTAATTTCTTGTATTTAATGTTTAAAGGCTGTGTTTCTCTACCAGCCATGCAGAGCTAGAAAAATAGATGTTGCATGCAGTGCTTGGTTGACAAAAATTTGTTTGAAGCACTGAAATATTTAAAGATCAGAACACCCACTGGGACAGAAAATGAGCCCATGCTGTAAAACAGTGCAGTATATAAAGAATCAGTAGCCCCTGATGGTTACTGCTAATGTGGTATTAATGTTTTTCTTGGTAATGTAATACGTCCACAGTATACAAGCACTGTAATAATAACAGTTATAAACCTGGATCATGGCCAGGGCACCCAGTTCAAGTGGTGCAATATACTGTAGAGAATACTAATTCTTTGTGATATTCCAATGCTTTATCAATAACTGAAGGCAAACCCAATCCTCAGTTTATGTAAATGACAGCTGGATTCTTCAGTCCTTCCTTGGTCAAAATTCTCAGCAAGGTGTTTGATAATTGTGCATGTGTAAGGATGGCGAAAGTAAGCCCTGTGTTTACGTGGCTCTGGAATTTCAATGGAAGTCACAGATGCTTTTTTGATTTATGGACAAAATGAGGAGGTTGGAAGAAGGGGAAGTTGAAAGGCATAAGGCTTGTGTGAATTTAGTTTTGTTTTCACTAAGTCTCCTGGGAGCACCCTGAGGAGATGTCAGGTATGGAAGCAAACCTTTTGATGGAGAATGCAGACAGTTGTCTGTAGAGGGAAAGAAAAAGCATCTTCAGACACAGATCCTGAGTATAACAGACATTTCCATGATTTATGACATTGCTTTCATTAGAGACTCTAAAGTCCCAGTACAATAAACATTTTGCAACCTGGGCATGCTAGCCTTGCACCATCACCTGAAACCTGGTAGAGAAATTAACTTTATTATGAGCACTTCTGAAACTGAAATAGCTGTTTTTATGTTTGGTCAGAGAGAAATGCAAAAAAACTTAACCAAGAGCAATGAACAAAACCGAGTAACAAAAACGAATAAAATGCTAATTTAAATTAACAATGTGCAAGGGATCCTTAACCTGATGGTGCTGTGTCTGCTGCAATCTGGCTCTGTCTGCCTTCCCTTCAAAACCTGAAGGAGTGAGCAGTGTGGCATGGAGATGCAGACCTGGCTGCAGCTGATGTGATTTGGGTGCAGAAGCAGCAAAGTAGGTTATGCTTCCCCAAAGGCAGGGTTTGGTATCTGAAGTCTTGTGGGTTTAACTGCTTTCAGACTGTTGAGCTGTTGTGTTGGTAAGGAACACGTATTAACGTGACAAGCTCTGCATCGCTTTTCCCTAGGAGGGGCACCAAGGGCAGTCAGATGCTGGGTATCACCTGATACCACTGCAACACTTTCAGTAAAGAGCATAAGTGGTCAAGAAAATATTTTCATACTGAGAATTGGACTGCTTTTGTTGAAATTAGCAAACACATTTTTGAGGTGGAGTATACTTTCTTGTTTTGATAGAATATGTTTGGTTTCCTGACAGTTCATAAATTTCCATAATTTTTGATGAATCTTTAGGCAGCACTGGGTGAAATTCATTATTTGCAGAGGGACAGCTCAGAAACCTTGTGCTGCAGGTAAATTAAATCCTAGTGTGGGTCTGCTGAACAGGGAAATGCATTTTAGTGACTGTTTTGAACATGAAAGTATTGAAAAGGACGAAGTTGACTGCATAGGGAAGGAC